ACCGTGCGGTGGTAGTGAGATGGTGATGCCCTTTTTTTTCGACCGAATTGCAGTACAATCGAGCTCTTCTCTTTTCTTCTCTCGCTATACTCCCTCTCTCTGTTTCTTTCTTTTTTTTTGTTGTCTGTTCGCGTAAGAAGAAGAGAAGAAGAAGTTTTTTTTATATATTTAATATATAAAACGTATTCCTTGAATAAGGTTTCTGCATGATTTAATTGCAGAACGTATTCAAGGAATACGGTTTCCGAAAAAAAAAAGGCACGAGGATCCCAGATTGGGGACTCGAACCCGTGTCTGTGGGTGAGTCCGGTTTCTCTGGGCGCACCTCGTACTATTGTGCCGCCAGGCACCTTGCGTTTATTTTTGCGCAAATTATATACATATACATATATTATAAATTGCAATATATTATATACTATATGTTATACTATATTACATTACTATATACTATGTTATACTATATAATATATAGTATATAGTATATAATATAACATCTACTATATGTTATGTTATAATATAACATCTACTATATTATAACATATATCATATAATATAATATATGTTCTAATATAACATATGTTATATTTTTATAATATAACATATGTTATATTTTTTACATATGTTATATTTTTATAATATAACATATGTTATATTTTTAACATATATTATAATATTATATTATATGTTATTATATAATATAACATATGTTATATAATAATATAATACTATGTGATATTATCTACTATATTTCTTATTATCAACTATATGTTATATATTATCAACTATATTATAACATATTATATTATAATAAACATATGTTATATTAATATAACATATGTTATATTATATTATAACATATATTTATAATATAATATAACATATGTTATATTATAAGGTTTAGGGTTTAGGGCTAGTGTTTAGGGTTTAGGGTTTAGGTTTAGGGTTTAGAACATATTATATTATATAAAATAACATATTATATTATAACATATGTCATATAATACTAGATAATTCTTGGCCGTGCACAACACGGCCATGCCCACTGGTTGCCCACTGTGTATTTTATTTTGTGTTCATATAGATTTTGATTCATCTTATATGATGATTTCTTATAAATAAAATTGCATTATTATAACATTTATTTATACCATATATAAATTAAAATAACAATTAGTAGAACAATTTTGTAGCATGTTTTGATATTGTTGCTAACACAAAATATATATTTTTTTGTGTAGGCATCTTATATTTTATTGAGTTATCAATGTAGAAATCTTAATACATACAACAAAAGGAGACATCTTATAATACATACAGCAAAAGAGATTTTTTAATATTACAAAAGCTAAAACTTAAGTAGTTTTAAGTACATGAATCTTACAAAAGGTAAACCTGAGTTTGTTAATTGAGGTATCCTTATCCTACATAACAAAAGTACGATCCTCTACTATAGATATTAGCACTTATTAAGTAAGCCTATCAATCCTTTTTTTCCCTTGGCTTTTTGAGTAGAGGTGGCGATTCTGTTTTCTGTGGAGTTGAAGCTGGAGAAGCAACATCGCCATGCTGTACAAACTGTGGAAGGTTTTTCATTTTTGGAAGTGATTCTATGTCCATGGCATCCTCTGGTTTGAAAAGGCTTCTTTTAGCTGAAGACACTGAAGATTCAGCCTTTTGAGTTGGTTCAAATTTTTCGGCAATTGCTTCCAATACCTTGCTTGTTGTTGGGCTGAAAAATTGTGGCTGAGATACTTGTTTTGGTGGAGAGTTTTTGTGGAAAATGTGGTGTTTCATTTCTTCAACCGTGTACACTTTAATAACATTGTATCTATCAACTTTCTGCCCTCCATAACTTGACTCAAAGTGCTTAATGAAGCAAATAACAGTGCATTTCTCCAGTGTAGATGATATCTCCAAATTTATGTCCCGCACCTGACAAAAAAATTATGTTATAATGAATTGTAATGCTCAACAAGGCTTAGGGATATATTTATAAAAATATTTCAATGTATTGTGAATTTCTACCAATTATAAAACATATGTAAGACATAAATGCAGTTGAAGAGTGATTTTGACAAATTACATAGTGAACCAAAGCTTGTTTAGGTCCATTTTTATATTATGTGCCTAAAGAAAATGAAGAAACACATAAATTTTTAGAAGTTGTAAACAATTCCTTCATATATATTTAATATTGTTTGATAGTGTTCATGCAATGCAATGGCAAATAAAAGTAATCATCAAACAACCAACAAACTGAGTTTGAAGAAAAAATCAAATACATCTTTCTGCTCTAGCTTAGAATATGTTCTTTTTTTCCAAAGACTATAAAATTGTGTACTTTTATAAGAATTTTTTTTCTCAATGTTAAAGTAACTTCTTAAAGGAAAAAACTTTGCCAGAGAAATTAAAAACTATCACTGTAAATTTTAAAGAATATATAATGTTTAATAAAAAAACAAGAGATAACATAAAGTGAAAATTTTGTACATGAGATTACCTGTTTATTAGTCACACTTAATTGTTCAGCAGTAAAAGGAATCATCTTTTCAGCATCATTTCCCAAGATGGCTGATTCTATAGATGCAACTTGATCGTAAATCATGACTTGAAGACGACATCTGCATGCATCATTGTTATTGAATTGTAATTTTGCTATTTTTGATAACAAGCAATTCATTTGGTGGGTAAATATTTATATATTCATCAAACCTTGGTTCAACAACAGTTTTTTCTTTGCAAGATAGACATTTTATACTCCAACCTAATTGAGCTTCAACATTCTTCTTGCAGTTTCCACAAGCAGTGTACCAAGGAGAACGATGGGGATCAACTAACTTCAACCTTCCTTTCACCCACGCGGTTTTGTTCTGTTTTATGAAATATATAGTGAAATACTTTTTATAATAATGAAAGCATATGAATAATATTAAATATATGGTCGAATAAAAAATGAGAGTGCATTTTTTATGCTTACATCTTTTAAAACATTCAGAGCTGAGTTAACATCAATGACATATTGTTCATCTGGAGGTGGCAGCAAAAAGTCCGGGTTTTTGTAAACAGCTGAGGCGAGATTTGCATTTATAATCGCTCTGTTGTCTTTGTACCTGCATCATTTATATATTACAATAAGTACATTCTATAATGTTTAAAGTAATTTATTAAGAAAAACTTAGTAGTGTGCAATTTTGTTCAACCATTGCTTCAAATAATTGA